AACATCCAAACTTACAATTAAAATACTACAAACTGACATAGCATTTTAAACAAAGAGCAGTTCAACCAAGCTGAAGCAGTCATGCATGGAGAGTTCTGATTTCTACATCCTAATTAGGTGAAAAATTATCCAACTATTAATTTTCTTTCTTAATCTATTACCTATCAGGAATAGACCTACTGTTTTCACTTTCTACCTGTGCCACATTTATCTTAAGTATTATACTTCTGGATCTTTTAACCATTAGAGATCAACCATCAAATTACTTCAACAAGTAGAAATAGCAACACCGCTCCCAAACAGCAATTTCTGCATTGCTAGACACTTATCTAGTTGGTAGATTTATACCATTGTTCATTCTTAGTTCTGTAAATGTAAAAAAATACCCACAGAATGGTGGCATACCTCTAAATTAGTTTAAATATGGTACAAAGTTATTTTTAGTTAGGTTCAAGTTTTAAAAAGGCACTAATCATTCTTCTCAAAGGCTAATCTACTCAAGTTCCTCCCATATTAAGAAAATAAAAAGCTTAATTTGTCTCTTTTGGAATGGAGAAATGTTATTTATGTAATGCTCACCCAAAAGGACGTTAGAATAATAGACCTGACATCAAATCAGGGTCAGGACCATAGCTATTGTTAATAAAAATAAGTTTGACATTTATCCTAATGATGCTTCTTTCAAACACTACCATGGCTAAATGTCAATTATGCATACTTTCAAATGTAATTCTTTTTTTTTAAATACTCTAATTCCATGCAAAGTAAAAAAGAAGAAAACCACCATATACCATTATAAGCTGGTTCTTATTCCTGAAAAAAAAAAAGAAAAAAGAAACAAGGAACATTCATGTAACATTTATTTGAGATGTAGCATTTATTTGGTTCCCTCCTTGCATGCTAGAAAGATGCAAAGACAAACACTTCCAACTATTCAGACAGATCATTCCACAGTTGTAACTTTCATCATAGTTCTCAAAGCAGTATGGTGAGGTCAGCTCACAAACAGCTTAAGGAGTAAAACTAGAAATTGGTGGTAGTAGTATCAGGCTACATAACAGCCTCTCCAAAGAATATGAAGTAACAGAACTAAAATGTGCTGGCAACGTGCCAAGAGACTGGATGGACTATAGCTTTCAGCAACAACTACTCAGAGCTTACAGTATATAGCAATTCATCATCTCTTACCCTGCAGCTTGATTTTCCTTGTTTTAAGCCCAAAATAGCCATATGTAAGAGGTATTTAACACTACCGAATTTTCCATATTTGTGAATTGAAAGCCATCTGGGCTTGCACTGATCTGGTGAACTAAATACATAACCGAGAAGAAACATCTGACTTTTATCCTATGTGAATATGAGGGTAAAATAGATACAATTATATTGATATTACTCTGCACAGAATAGCTTTTTTCTCCAAGGGTTATATTGTCCTCAGCTTCATTTTGAAGGCTTGGAATATCTTTGCATCTGGTTGGCATTTAGAATTAGTCAATCTTCTCAATAAATTTAATAAAGAATGAATCTTGTCAGATCAAATGACATAATTTTGATCAGAAACAATTCCTTTGACTTTTCTCAAAATGTTACTTATATAATTTCACCTTTACTGAATTATAATATTAAAACAGAAAAATAAACTCTTAATTCTTAAGTCTCTGACACTTTATAAACATATTTTCTTTCTAAAGAACCAAAAGAAAATGCAGTTATTTTAGGCAAAAACATCATTATTCAATTCAAATGACACATATTTAACATCTATTTTGTGCCAGACATTATTACTGAGACCTGAAGACACAAAGATAAATATGTAAGTATAATGGTCTCCCAGAGCTGACAACCTAGTAGGGGAGACTAACCCACTTTAAATCCAATCAATTAATGAATCAAACAAACAGCGTGCGTGCGTGCGTGCGTGCGTGTGTTTCCTACCAGCTATAGGGACAAAAGCCCTGGTATCACCGCAGAAATATGACTAGGTCTGCCGCGGGGGGGAAATCTTCAGATAACATGAGCTATTTCTTGAAAGATGAGAATTTCACAAGGGAAAGTCAAAGATCACAGGCCAAGAGGGACAGAATGAGCAAAAGCACGAAAGCATAAAACATGGCGCATGTGAGGAGGCCCACATGGCAAGGGCAGTCGTAACAATTTCTGGCACGTGTGTTACTCCATGACAGACATTGCTAATCAATTAAAGCATGTTTAAAGTCCACATAAGACTGAAACTCCTTCCCAGCAGATAACCCAAAACCAATGGTAGGAAGTCAATCCATGAGATGACCTGAATGTGGGAACAACAAGTGTAGGACTTGAGGCTAGAAGGATAAACTAAGGACAGATTATGAATGACTATGAATGTGAGGATAACAGGTTTAAATTTTATCCTGTGGAAAACAAAGGATGAACAGAGGATTTTGTGAAAAATATTGATGTGACCAACTCTGGCAAGTGTATAAAGAATGCATTTCGATAGACAGAATAAAGGCAGAAAAGAACAGTTAAGATGCTATTGCAATAGTCCAGGCAAGACTTAATGAGGCCTGAACTGCAGCAATGGCAAAAGTCTAGCGCAGTTCTAAAACAAAAATAGTGTTTTGGATTTTATAATCCATGGACTTAAAACACTAATTTGAGAAAAATTAGTATTCTAATTAGAATTCCCAAATAATACTGAAAAAGGAAAAGATAAGACAACATAAACATGAGAATTTAAGATGTGAATCACAATGATACTCAAGATTACCCAAGACTATAAATTCAGAAATAGATATTTCAGGTTTAGCATCAAGAAAGAGAACATCCTCATGACCAGACTAATACTCAGCAAGTCTTTTCTTCCTGAGGGCACTAATGCTCTAGCCAAGCAACAAACACTATTCACCTTACATGCCCCTACGACGCAGGGTCAAGTGCGCACTCCCGATGAGATGCTGAAAGCACAAAAGTCTAATTTAAAACCAAAATCTGAACCCATACAGGAGTTCCACTTTACCTGAACATTTGAAACTATACTTTTTAAAAAAAAAAACATAAATAATGTGCAATAAATCTTCTGGAAATACTACTATTCTACCATTAACTAATTCACATTCCAGCCTTTAGAGCCTACAACTTTGTGTGGAATGCAACCTGTCTGTAGCACTTTGGGCAGTATGCAATAAAAGCAGCACTCCTATCACTTCTGCAGAATGTTTAATAAGTGAAATTATTTTAATTAAAAATAAAAACTTCATTGTAGCTCAAAAGGCCAAAGATAGTCAAAGAGTTTTTCTATTTTGGAAAAAGATTCTTTAGCTGTTGCAAACAGGCTATTGTAGTGATGTAAAATCCAAGTACAACATGTTAACAAGCATGCTAGAAAAGCTAACATTACTGTTTTAAGACCTAAGGATATTCACATTAAGGATAAAATTATCCTGTTGTGAATGCCAACAATGCACTTCATACTACATAGACACATATTCAAGGTTCTACTTTGTTTAACCCAATAATAATATTTTGTGTCCCAGTAACAAACTCTCAAATTGGAATTCTCTTCCTCTTAGAACAAGCTAAAATGAAAAATATGAACTACAAAGACAAAATTTATTTGTGGTACATTGTTTACCCTGAGAAAGCAAATCTGATTAACAGTTTATCACAATCTATCTCTTTTCCAGAAAGACATGGATTAGCTGGTCAGGAACAGGGTCTGCTTCTCATGATGTCATTCCAAAGCCATTACTAAATGTTACACATGTTATACTTTCTTCAAAGCAATCACAAAACAAGTCATCCCAAGCCTGGGGTCAAATTCCATTCCAACTAAAAGCTCTCCGAACCAGAAGTAATGGTCCACTTACTAAGTAATAGTCAAAGACCAAATTCCAGAAGAACCCTCCTCCTGTACCCCCTCCCCCCAAAATCAGTCTCCTTTTCCTAGCTCATTGTAATGGAATGTATGACCTGCAGTTAAGGGCTTTTCCATTTCTTACTGCTCAGAGAACATGAATCAGATCTGTTCTCTCTCATAAAGGTGATACATATTTTAAGAGAAAAAAGTGAACTGTTATTATATGTTAATCACATAATAACAAGTAGAAAAAAACAAAAGGTAAATTTACTAGAATTCTCATGTACGACAGAACGAGTGTATTTAAATGACAACTGAATATTTTTATTTTAGGATACTGGCCAGACAACTAAATGATTTATGATAATATTCCCTCCTAATAAATTAGATAGGGAAGGGTAGGTTAAAACTACAACCACTTCAATAAATCTTCACACACAAAATTACTATGAACATCTTTTCGTAACACGTCATATTTTTATCATTGAAGTTATACATTTTTAAGTATCTAATTGCAGAGAAAAGAGGGAAATATTTAAGAAATGCACTTCAAAATCTAAAATTCTACATATCTGGCAGCTCTCCCTCCTGGGAATAAACCCACACCTTACCCCTTCCTCTTTTCTCCTTCCCCAGGTGCATTACTTTACAAACTTTCTCTCTCCTAAGCTCCTGGGCCCTTTTTTTTTTTTTGCCTTTGTATCTTATTTCCTGAGCCTATTTATTTGATTTCAGGGAGAGGGAGGAAGGAAGAGAGAAAGAAACATCGATTTGTTGTTCCACTTATTATGCATTCATTGGTTGATTCTTATGTGCCCTGACCGGGGATCAAACCCACAGCCTTGGCACATCGGCATGATATTCTGACCAACTGAGCTACCTGGTCAAGCCCCTGAGCCCATTTGTTTTACAACTCATTTCTTTTACCCCTGTGACTTTCTAAGTAAACTTTCTCTCACAGCTTAAGAAAATAAATTAATTTAAATTAAACACTCCTATCTGGGAATCAGTTTCTCATTTTTAAAATAAGAAGGTATTTGACTAGATGATCTTTAAAGCTACTGTGATACTTTAAACCAAGTGTTAAAATGGACAAATTCTATGCTTTAATTCAGACAAAACATCTCCCAAGATAACCCCCGTAAGCATATATTTTACTTACATTCTTCCTACACCTTCATACATGTTAGTCTCATCTACCAAAGTCATAATCTCGGTGTCTGTAAGATGGGCATGCTTTTTCGTTCTGTTTAGCTGTTCAATCTGTATGTCTGCAAGCTTCACCTTTTGTTGAGTGTCAATAACTTTGGCTTGAAGCTCTGTGAAGGCCTAATAAAAACAAGTTCTTAATTTAGTGGGTGAAATATTTTACAGGAAACATTTAAGTCAAATCCAGATATATTAAAATAAAGCATGCTAATCAGATACAAAGCTGTTAAATTTACAAAAGCAAACATCAATAAAAGTTAGTATAATTATAATTGACAAAGCCACTAGCCTAAATACTAAATTTACGCTGTCCTGAGAGGATAGAATCTATCTGAAGCAGAAACAAATGCACATTAAATAATAGTCATATCAAGGAGCGAGTACCCAAGGAGTAATAAAAGTAATAAATGCAGCAGTCAGAGGATGAAACACAGAGAACCAAAAGAAGAACCATAAATGGAACTCCCTACATGTGTATTACTCAACTGGTTTCAAAGCACTTTCCCACATTTGTTTCAAATATTAATATAGGGATATTAATATGGGAACCCTGAGGGGTATAATAAATCTCATTTACTCCTCTCAAATCCTATGATTTAGGGTGGCATTTTCATCATAAGTTTACAAATTAAGTAACTAAATGTGTTAAAGAAATACAAGTGGCTTGCACGGGATTGAAGAACTACCAGGTACTTACATCCATTTCTTCTGAAACCCTAATTCAGGAATCTTTCTAGTCTACTGTCTACAGTAATATCCAGAATATAAATACTTTTAAGAGAAAGATGGAAAAAAGAAAATTTCATAAGCATTGGTAGAAGAATTACATTATAATCTTCATATGCACATACCAAGCCAAATTCGACTGATGAGTACACTTAACTCAAAGATAAACAGTTTTTGGACACTCTTGTTGAAATGCCTAGAATGACTTTCACATGCTGTCAAATTTATGTCTTAATAATAATAAATGTGACTGCAACACATGGCAAAGGCTACTACTTACCTTTTATTCTGACTTTGTTCTCACCTACAAGTAAGGTTTCAGAAGATTTATTCTGTGGGAAGGGGGAGCCTGAAATTTTCTACTAGTCTCCAGGTAATAAATAAATAAATTAGAAGATTAAATCTTTAAATGAGTTTCTGTAGTTAATCTAATTGGTTGTCAGGGCTATCCAACTGAAGGCTGAAATCACTTTCTTAGTTTGCATTCATCTTCCACAGATTTCTTAGCAACAAATTCAAATACTGGGAGGTAAGTCCATTCACAAATGTACTCTATTGTTAGCTCTTTCACTAAAGCCTGACTTAAATCTGAACTTTTAACAAGATAAAGAAAAGCTAAACTCTTAGCATGCTTTAAATATTCTTAAAACAAATGTTTTGGTGCACAGTTTGTTAAGGAATCTAGTATAATTGTTGAAGCTGAGATACTACAGAATGAAAGAACACCGAGTCAGGGCCAAACTACAAGTTTCAAAACAAGAATGACAAAAAGACACACACATAAATTCTCACAGCAGTAACAAACAGCTTCATTTACTAGGATGAACAGCTATTTCAGCTGTCCTATTGCTTACGTACAGATTGACCAGAAGGTAGATGGTCGTACGTAAAATTTGCTCTTCTGAAGAACCTAAACTACTAATGGCCCCAACCTTTGACTGAGTCTTTCCTGGAACTCAGTTTCCTTTTCCTTAAAAGGATGGATTTAAAGCAGATGAAGCCTAGGATTCAAATCCCGTCTGCCCCCACCTCAAAATATATATATGGTTTGAGGTCGGTAGTGGTCTTAGGACCCTGACAACTCTGTGGTGGTGACAACGTTTCTGAGTAACAATTCATTTATAAGCAACTGAAGAGAGAAACCTAATTTCTTCTGATACCACTTTTATTTGGAAAATCTTTACGGGACTTGTTTCTTTCTTGGACAAGTCCTCCAAAAACGGTGGGGGAGAGGGGGTGCCAAACTCTGGAGATGAACATTGCCATGAGCTTCTCTGGCTCTGAACTGTAGTGCGACCTTTCAAGGTTTGGGAACAAATTAAGTGGCCAAAAAGCACAAGATGGACTTGCAGCTTTTCAAAGCAAACGAGGACGCAGTATTACAGATGCCTCAGCTCGGGCAACCTGTCGTAAGGGGCTCCAGTTGAAACGTTCACCTCAGGCCTTACTATAGAACTGAAGGCTCCAAGCGCAACGACGCGGCTCTGGAGCTCGGGACAAGGGGACAGGTCAACTGCCGGCCCACCAGACTTAACCAAACCTAGCCCAACTGGCTCTTGTCCAGCAAATGTCGCTTGCCCCCTGCTTCAACCTAAGGAGACCCGGTCCCGCGTTACAATTCTGGGAAATCACCCCCCAGTCCTCTGAAACCGCTTTTCTTCCGCAAGACTCGAGCCTCCACCATATTCTTGTTCGCAGTCCCCTTAACTACCGAAAAGAAGCCTCCTCCTGCCCAAAACCCTCTTTACCTTCTTCAACTCCAGATCCACGGGCGCCGCCATCTTGGCTCACTCTCTGCGCCTGCGCGCTGGGCGAAGGCCGGAAAGAGTGTGGGGGAAGGGCGCGCCTTAGAGGTTTCTTTCCCTCCTTTCTTCTTCGCCTGCGCATCAGCCTAGCTAGTCAGGCTTCTTCCCTTCTCCTGGGCTAGTAACTTTTTTAAAAAATATTTTATTTAATCTTTATTGTATTTTTTCCCATTGCCATTTAGTCCTCTTATACCCCCTCCCCTAGCAATCACCACACTGTTGTCCTTCTACAGGAGTCCTTTTTCCTTTTTGCTCAATCCCTCCACCCCTGCTCCTCCCCACCCCCACTACTGTCCCTGTTCATCTATGAGTCTGTCTTTGTTTTGACTGTTAGTTCAGTTTGTTCATTAGATTCCACGTGTGAGTAAAATCATACAGATTTGTCTTTCTCTGCCTGGCTTATTTCACTTAGCATAATGTTCTCCAGGTTCATCCCTACTGTTGCAAAGAGTAAAATAATCTTTGTTATGGCCAAGTAGAATTCCATTGTGTAAATGTCCCCTAGTTGTTTTATCCACTCATCTACTGATGGACACTTGGGCTGCTCCGATATGTTGGCGATTGTAAATAACATTGCAATGAACATAGGTATACTTACATTATTTTGAATTAGTGTTTTGGTTTTCTTTGGATATATTCCCAGAAGTGGGATTGCTGGGTCAAAAGGCAGATCCATTTTTAATTTTTGGGGGTATCTCCATACTGCTTTCCACAGAGACTGCACCAGTCTGCATTCCCACCAACAAGGCACAAGGATTCCCTTTTCTGCACATCTTCGCCAGAACTTGTTCGTTGATTTATTGATGATAGTCATTCTGACAGGTGTGAGATGGTATCTCATTGTGGTTTTAATTTGCATTTCTCTGATGATTAATGATGCTGAGCATCTTTTCATATATCTATTGGCCACCTGTATGTCCTCTTTGAAGAAGTGTCTACTCAGGGCCTTTGCCCATTTTTTAACTGGGTTGTTTGTTTTTTGGTTGTTGGGGGGAGGGTTTGGTGTTGAGTTTTTTAAGTACTTTATAAATTTTAGATATTAACCCATTATCAAATATATCAGCAAATATGTTCTCCCATCCTGTGGGTTGTCTTTTTAGTTTGTTGATGATTTTCTTTGCTGTGCCCAGGCTAGTGACTCATGAACTAACTATTCTGCATTCCCCTCTATCAGGCCTCACTGGCTTCTCCACATCCTTTCAGACACAACACAACATGCAGATTTTGTGTATGGTTTTAAGCATTTTGATAAATAGCTTAGCTTGTACTGCTAAATTGAGATGTATGTAGATAAGGCCAAAACCTCTTCTATCATTCAGGTAGTCCCTGTGCTGTCAGAGATGAGGAGAAAAAAGTCAGCCTGAGCCTCAGGCATGCCAATATAAAGACCAGAATGCAACTGAAGTGCTCTTCGAAAGAATTTATTTCTACTGAATGCTCCTGGAAGATCGTTTTGGCACAGTGGTTTTCAAGAGAGGCCAAATAAGTTTCTTTAATAAATACTACTAATAATAAGTCTCTCTGGTCCTCATCCCAAACTTATAAGAATCTTTGAGACTGGGGCTCAGAAATTTGTACTTTTGCAAACAACCCTTATGACCTGATGCAAGTCATCTGTAGATCACATTTTGAGAATTTGCTGTAAAAGACCTAACATTTGAACCAGAAGGATGGATAGAAATTGGACTTTTGAAACTAGAAAAAATAGATGTTTGCCTACTTTAAAAACTTGGAGAGGAAAGGGCAGAAATTTGGAACCAACCATATCTGAATTGAAGGTTTGGTCTACATTGAGCCTAAATCTGTCTGGTTCCATCTACTAGCTGCATGTGGCAACAGAGTTTGTCTCCTCTTTTAATTTGAGAATAACAATATTGACCTAACAGGGTTATTGTGAGGAATCAATAAGATCAGGATGAAAAGTTCCAAGCATAGCACCATGCACGAAGTAGGTACTCAATCAATAGTTGTAGTTAAGTTGTTAAGTTAACATTAGTGTTTGTCTTTCAAGGTTCAGCAAACAAGTCACCTCTCCTTTATGTCTTTTTTTTTTTTAATTTTTTACCTCACTCATTGTACAGATCAAAAATAATCTCTCCTCTGAACTCTCCTCAAGACTTCATCTGTTCATCACTCAAGGCACAGGACACTTTCTATTTTTTTTTTAATTTTCTTATTAGACTGTAAGGTCCTTGAAATCAAGAACTATAGAATAATGGTCCTTCCAGTACTTCTACCCAGGACACCTATCACAGCAAAACAAATACAAATTAAACACTCAATGAAAATGAATTCTTCAGAAGAAAATTTGTCATCACTCTAATTTCAGAAAGGAAAAAGAAAATGGCCTAATTCTACTCTGGGATCTCCTTAGAACTTCATTATAGATGATCAGTAAATAATGACTGAATATTAAAATTCAAAGAAAGTCTCCAATACTTTCCTGTACATTACCTTATGAGATTTTGAAATACTCTACATAGAGATTTGTATAATAGAAAAATCAGGAACATGGACTAAGGTGTCAGACAATCTGGGTTCAAGTATTACCTGCACAACTTAATAACAATGTGACTTTAGGGAAGGGTCCTCTCTCACTTTATTTTGTCATTATTCCTTCTTGATAAAGTAAATCTTCATTAGATTCCTTCAGGAAGAGTCTTTGAGGAGTAAACTCTCTCAGTCTTTGTGTTATGGGTTGAATTGTGTCTCCCCCTCCAAAAAAAAAAAAATGATGCATTGAAGTCCTATACTCAGTACCTCCAAAAGAGATCTATCTGGAAATCAAGTCTTTATAGAGGTAATCATTTTCCAATTAGGTCTTTGGAGTGGACCCTAATCCAATACGTCTTAGTCCTTCAGCCTGCTATAACAAAATACCACAGGCTGGGTGGCTTATGAATCACATTTATTTTTCACCGTTCTGAAGACTGGAAGTCCGAGATCAGGGTGCCAGCATGCTTAGCTGAGGGCCTTTTTCTGGGCTGCAGACTGCTAACCTCTCACTGCGTCCTCAGTTGGTGGAAAAGGCAAGGGATCTCCGTAGGGTCTCTTTTATAAGATCCAGCAATCCCACTTTTTGGCATATACCAAAAAGAATTGAAAGCAAGGACTTGAACAGATATTTATATATCTATGTTCATAGCAGCATATTCACAATATTCAAAATATGAAAGCCATCCACCTGCTCTTTCCTTTTTCATATATGTAACGATATGATCTTGCCTAATAGCGAACATAATTAGAACATAATGAACATAATAATGTTTAAATTTCTTTACAATGTCATATCACCTGAGGGTTTTTGGGTGTGAATTCTCCCATTGGGAGCACCTGCTGGTCTTTCTTATTACAGATGATTTTCTCATATGACTCAAGTTTTTTACTAAGAACCTATCTTCAGTGTCTCCCCCTCCAAAAAAAAGAATGATTCATGTCCTGTGGAAACATTCATAAGGGTAGCTTCACATTCACTTCTACCAAAGCCCTATGGGATTCATGGGTCCAAGCCAGTTCTTATGTTAATTCTTGATACCACATGAGTGAAGCAAATCTGGGGAAAAATAAAATTTTCTCTGAGCATACAGTTGGCAGAATGTGATCTACATTTATGGATTGAAAGTCACCATATTATTTTCCCATATCTCCTTTTCGTTTGGGTCTTTAAAATAAAGGTATTTTCTTTCTCTCTCAAGAGCTTCTAAAATGGCAGGAAGACACTATCTACGAAAGCCCTGAAGACACTGCAGTATTTGGACACTTGCCTAGAGGATAACCAGGATGTGCTTGTTTCTATTATTTTCGTGGAAAAAACCAGACTTCACACCGAAGGCTTCACTAGTGCAGGAATATATTACTTCTGAGGTTTAATGAGTTGTGGAAATTAGGTGATATCCTATTATCCCTCAGCTCTGCTTTGCCACTGCTCAATAATTTATTCCTTTAGCAAATACTTTCTGAACATCTGTTAAGCACTGATATATAGGCCCTTGGGATGTAACAGTAGCAAGAGACAAACTCCCTGACCTCATGGAGCACATACTCCAGTGGGGAGAGTCAAATAATAAACATGGAAATAAATAATTTTAGATATTAGTAAATGTTATTAAAGAAGAAAATAGCAATGCAGTTAGAGATTGACTGACAGAGGCCACTTAGGTGCGGGAAGCTCCCTGGAAGGAGATGACAAGAAAAAAATGAACATGAGGCAGCTATGCAAAAAGCTGGGGAAAGAGCGTGCGCAGCAGAAGGAACAGCAAGAGCAAAGGGTCCTGGGTGGGAACAGCCCTGGCATATTTGACGAACAAAAAGTAGAGACTGGGTGGGGAGAATGGTAGGAGGGACATCAGAGAGTTCAGCAGGGGGCCAAACCATGAAAGGCCTTGTAAGCTACAATCAGGGGTTAGGATGCTATTTTTGAGCGTGATCTGAAGCCATTGAATAGTTTCAAGAAGGGGATTGAAATTACCTCAAAAAATTGACAGGATCCCATTCTTAAAAGATCAGTGTAGGTTCTAGGAGGAAAACGGATTAGATGTAGCAAGAGTGGAAACAAAGAGACCAGTTAAGACTATTGCAGTAGTACGAGAGAGATGATGGCAGTCTAAGTGAAGATGATAGCAATGCAGAAAGGGAGAGGTAGATGCGCTCAGGTAGAGGCTACTGAACTTGAAGGAATTGATTGGAAGCAGCGGGCTGGCAATGAAAGAAGAGAAATCAAAGGTCATTCCTAATCTCCAAAGAACTGTGCTGAGTGAAAGAAGTCAGAATAAATGAATAACATGCTATATGATTCTATGTATATAAAATTCTAGAAAATGCAAACAAATCTAAAGTGGCAGGTAGGTTGGGAGTGAAGGGGACTGGGAAGAAGGCAGAAGGAAGGAATTACAAAGGAGCATTAGAGAGCATTTATGGTGATGGGTATGTTTATGATCTTGATTATGGCAATGATTTCTTGGGTGGGAACATAACAAATTGTACACTTTAATGTATTCAGTTTGTT